TTGCCTCCTGTATGCACCCCAACTAGGGTTCGAACCTGCAAACTTCTGGTGTATGGGGCAATGCTCCAGTCAATTGACCCACCTGGCCAGGGCTTGATAATTATCTTTAATGCGTTCTAACCAGTAGGATTAAGTTTTGGTATTGTAAGGGGACTAAGCCTCTTGGAAAATCAGAATCCACTTCTAGGAAATAACAGAACAGGTGCTGGCAGTCTGCGTCATTGGGATGGAGCTCAGACCTCGAGTTAGAGTCCGAGGCTAAAGGAAAGGATGCCAGGGGACGGGGTGGGAGAAGGGAAGTTGTGTTCAGTGAGTCCGTGGTGACTGTTCTGAGAGCTCTAGGAGTTGTGCCATAGACTTCCCGATAGAACTGGGTTTTCGTATTTCCATCTGTCTTCTTGGTATAGTAACCTACAAGGTTTTAAAAATCTTCATTCTTCTTATCTAAAGGCACTAATCAATCGTGGGGTTAACCTGGATCCCCTGGGCAAGTGGTCAAAGACTGGATTAGTGGTATATGATTCCTCAGTGCCCATTGGTGAGTGTTCCCTGCCCAGTAGTCCTTGTGCCCCTGCCCTTGTCTCAGCTTGTCACAGACGGGTCCTCTGCTACAGGTGCTACTCCCGAGTACCTGGCTGGGCACTATATGCTGCAAGGAGCCTCCAGCATGTTACCTGTCATGGCCTTGGCGCCCCAGGAACATGAGCGGATCCTGGACATGTGTTGTGCCCCTGGAGGAAAGACCAGCTATATAGGTACGAGGAGGGCAGGCAGGGGTAGGGTTCATTTGGATCTTTACTTTTGAAAGTAGGTGGGGTTGGTGATTGGCTAGCACTCAGGAGACAGTGCGCAGACAGCTATCAGAGTGGTGAGGAGCAAAGGCTCTGGAGTTGGCTGAGGTCTAGTCCTATGGGTACCACTTAAGACCTTGGGCAAGCCCTTGATTTTCTTGTCACCTATAAAATGGCATGGTGGTTGTGTTTGGGTTGACCATTATATTATGTTTGGGTTGTGGGGGTTGAGATGTATATATCAAGGTCCTTCGTATAGTAATCAGCCATAACCATTTTGATTAAGCTGTTACCACTTTTTAAAAAAATAGTCTGTAAGACTAGAGAGATGTTCAGTAACAATGGGAAAACACTTGTTCATGAGCTTGCTCATTACCAGGGGTCAGTGCAGACTGGGGAGACCTATGCAGTAGGCAGTGGGGAGCAGAGCTTATTAGGAGTAAAATTTTCCTTGAAGTGCTAAGACTTTACCTGTATATTCCTGGGCAAGAGGGTGGCTAGCAAGGGTAGGGGCAAAGGAGCTGACTGCCGAGCACTGTACCCTCCCTCCCCTCAGCCCAGCTGATGAAGAACACGGGTGTGATCCTTGCCAATGATGCCAGTGCTGAGCGCCTCAAGAGTGTCGTGGGAAACCTGCACCGGTTGGGAGTCACCAACACCATTATCAGCCACTATGACGGGCGTCAGTTCCCCAAGGTGAGACTCCCCTCTGTGCGTCCCTCCTGAGGTGTCTTCCAGTTCACCTGTCCTCTACCTGACATCAGCATGTTTAGACTTGATGCAACATAGGTGACCAAAAAAGGAGATTAACCTATCTTTTTTCCCCAGGTGATAGGGGGTTTCGACCGGGTACTGCTGGATGCTCCCTGCAGTGGCACCGGCATCATCTCCAAGGACCCAGCTGTGAAGACTAACAAGGTGAGGAGCTGGGGTTAGGGTGGGGTAGGTGAGAGGCCTTGGCTGGGCCTTGTGGAGCTGGAGGGGCAGTAGAGGGGTACTCTGGGCAACCAATAGCTCACTCATCTTTCCAAGACTGCCTTCTGAAATTCCGACACCCTTGGGTTTCCTACCTGGAACAGGATGAGAAGGACGTCCTGCGCTGTGCTCACCTTCAGAAGGAGTTGCTCCTGAGTGCTATTGATTCTGTCAATGCCACTTCCAAGACCGGAGGCTACCTTGTCTACTGCACCTGCTCCATCATGGTGAGGCCTCTGCTGTGGCAGAGCAGAGGAGAGCAGGGCTGGAAGACTGTTTGCCCCTTGGAGCTTCCCTCAGCTGCAGCTCTGCTTTTCCTTCCGCTTTTGTCCCCCTACACATCCAGGTGGAAGAGAACGAGTGGGTGGTAGACTATGCTCTGAAAAAGAGGAATGTACGGCTGGTGCCCACAGGTCTAGACTTTGGCCAGGAGGGTTTTACCCGCTTTCGAGAAAGGCGCTTCCACCCCACTCTGCGCTCTACCCGCCGCTTCTACCCTCACACACACAATATGGATGGTTTCTTTATTGCCAAGTTCAAGAAGTTCTCTAATTCTATTCCCCAGTCTCAAACAGGTAAGTAATCTGCTGTCCACCCATCATCACTGCCTTTGCACTTTCTGCCTTTCAAGAGGCTTTATAGTGTGACCGCAGGGAAGGGAAGAATTTCTGCCTTCTTTGTTGCTGCCTTTGTCTGCTTGGGTAAGAGAAGAGCCTCCTCACATCCCAACTAGACTTATTCCTGAGCTTGGACCCCATTGGAGCGTGATAGAGCGTTCCTGGGGAAGGGTCCTTTCCCTTTATTCTCCCAAGTGTTTGTGCTTGTTTGGCCCTGAATGCGTGCCCAGTGTGGGTTGTGGTTTCTCTTTCTTCTTGGCCCAGGGTTGTCTCGCTGTTAATGCATCTCTGCTGTTCCAGCATTGTCAGCACAGGGTTGGCGTAAGACTCCTCAGAACAATCAGCAGTTCTCTGAGCTCATCGCACTAATTACAGTTGGTTTTCTCAGCCATCTTGAGTCTGTCCTGGGCCTCAAGGGGAAGGGTGCGGTTTTCCGAAACAGGCTTAGAGCCCTGCATGCTGGGAATGTAACCTGGGTGTAGTTGGGAGAGGGAGAGGTGAATGTGTCTGGATGCAAACGGCATGATTTATTGAGTTGACTTTTTTCTTTATAAGTAATGCTCCTTACAAAAGTCACATCTGAATGTTAACAAGAACCTGAATAGTTAAAATTTGTTGTGACTTTATGTTTTTAAAGATTGAATTATTGATTTTAGAGACAGAGGGAGAGGGGAAGAGAGAGAAACATCAATTTATTGTTTCACTTATGTATGCATCCATTGGTTGCTTCTTGTATGTGCCCTGACTGGGGATGGAACCCACAATCTCCGTTTCAGGACAGTTTAGACCAACCTAGCTACCTGGCCAGGGCTGTTGTAACTTTGAAAGTACACATTTAATATATCAGTACTCATTAATGTCTTACTAGCTTGTTTCTAGTTACGTGAGCCTTCTTATATTCCTGCATCTCATCAAAATCCACCAGGAAAAAAGTCCTTGACTTAAAAAAAAAACAAAACAAAAAAACCCAGTGCTTCAGGTTTATTCAGGATTTATCTCCTCAGGGTGTCTTGCTACATGCTGTCCTCAAGGGGGCACAGCTTCCTCTAAAACTTCTTGGCCCAAGGATGGGTAGTAAACCCTTCTCTTTACTGCAAGGTTCAGACAGAACGTGAGTGAAGGCCTGGCGATGTGAACCCAGGTGGTCTGCTCTGAGGCACTGCTGCAGTTGTACGGAGCGCTGGCAGTGCCCAGTGTACCCAGGCAGTTTCCTTATTTTAATGCCTCTACTTGTCTCTACCACTAATGATCAAAATCCAGTGATGAGGCCCTTTTTCTCAAAACAATCTTTAATTTTAGCCCCAGGAAATTCTGCAGCATCCACCCCTACAAACCCAGACTTGCCTGACCCGAAAGGTCAGGTGACCCCCAAGCCTGAGAGCAGCAGCCAGCCTGCCAAGAAGGCCAAAGTGGCTGTGAAAGCAGAGCGGCACTTGCAGAAACGGCGACACCCCAAGAAGGCCTCTTTCCAGAAGCAGAATGGCATCCCCAAAGGGGCAGACTCTGAATTGTCCACTGTACCTTCTGGCACAAAGGCCCCAGCTTCCTCTAAGCTCCAGGATAGTAGTCAGCCAGCTGAGAAGGGTGAAGTGACAGCAGTGGCCAGGAAACCAAAGGTGACTGGGATAAAAAAGCAACAATCACCTAAACTGCAGGCTTCCAAGAAAGTTCCCTCCCTGAAGCAGAAGGCTCCTCCCAAGGCCATGGATGCAGAGATACCTGCTGGGTTGCGTCTCTCCCAGACTCTGGCCACTCAGAAGACTGAGAACTGTGCTCAGCCCTTTGGGAAGACCCAAGGGGCTAAGAAGGTAAAGCAGCAGTTGCCACAGAAGACTGCCAAAAAAGCCGCCTTCCAAAAACAGAATGGGACCCCCAAGAGACCGAAGACTCCTACCATGTCCTCCCTTGGTTCCAACCAGCCCCCACCGGCAAAGAGGAGAAAATCTTAGTCTAGGTGGATGGTTAAAACTGGACTGGTCTGGCTCCTTGCTGTTGTCACTGGGTTGGAAACCTTACCTCTGTGAGGATGGCTTTCCCACTATGCCTATGAAATTTAATATACATTTTGCAATCCCTGGTCACTTGTGTTTTTTTGAGGGGACTGGGTACTGGCTTTGCTGCTTTAAGGGTAGAAATGAGAGGGTGGGAAAGAGAGGGAACAGTGTGGTATACTGAGAAATCAGGTCGGTTTTAGGTTCCTGGGGTCCCTGGGACTCCCTGGGGACTCAGGGAAGGAGAGCTGGTGAGTTGGAGGTAGGGTGTTTGGGGAGCGGAGGGCAGTAAGTGTGTAGGGAAGAGGGGCTACGCACCACCGGCATCCGTGGCGAACTGGAGGACCTGTGCTTTCTGCCACCCTGACTGGATTCTGGGCACAGGCTGGGGTCCGACCCACTCAAAAGAGCTGACTGGGGCTCCACTTAGCTCAGGATTCTACCCCAGACCCGGAAAAGTCCAGTTGGCAGCCTTAAATCGAACCATTCATTGGCTTCCTCTGTGCCCTCCCCCGCCCCGCTGACCTCTGCCCGTTTTGTCGAGCTGTTTGATTGGTTCTCCCGAGTCCCCGGGGCGCTTCATTGGTTCTTCTCGCCCGCCCTGCATCCCTGCTCCTGCACCGGTCTCCATCTCCCAGCAGAAGGCGCAGCCATGAATCCGTTATTCGGCCCCAACCTCTTCCTCCTACAGCAGGAGCAGCAGGGCCTGGCTGGGCCGCTGGGGGACCCCCTGGGAGGTGACCACTTCGCCAGTGCAGGGGACGTGTCGTCAACGCTCGCCCCTCCGGGTCCCACTTACTCACCACCTGGGCCGGCTCCGGCGCCCCCCGCCGCCATGGCCCTCCGCAACGACCTGGGCTCCAACATCAACGTGCTCAAGACCCTGAACCTCCGCTTCCGCTGCTTCCTCGCCAAGGTGCATGAGCTGGAGCGCCGTAACCGGCTGCTGGAGAAGCAGCTGCAGCAGGCGCTGGAGGAGGGTAAGCAGGGCCGGCGGGGCCTGGCTCGCCGCGACCAGGCTGTGCAGACCGGCTTCATCAGCCCCATCCGGCCCCTGGGGCTCCCGCTGGGCGCCCGGCCGGCCGCCGTCTGCACCCCGTCGGCACGCGTGCTGGGCTCGCCCGCGCGCTCGCCAGCAGGCCCCCTCGCGCCCTCCGCCGCTTGCCACTCGTCGCCCTCCACCTCCACCTCCACCTCCACCTCCTCCGCCTTCTCCTCCACCTCTGCCGCCTTCTCCTCGTCGGCCCGCTTCATGCCCGGCACCATCTGGTCCTTCTCTCACGCCCGCCGGCTGGGGCCGGGACTGGAGCCCATGCTGGTGCAGGGGCCTGGCCTGTCGTGGGTGCACCCTGACGGGGTGGGCGTCCAGATCGACACCATCACCCCCGAGATCCGCGCTCTCTACAACGTGCTGGCCAAGGTGAAGCGTGAGCGGGACGAATACAAGCGGAGGTAGGGATAGGAATCGGGCAGGTGGGGACATGGCTCAGTGTCCTGCCACACTCAGGGCCATGACAAGGTGTGGAGAGGAGGGCAGCTGGGGCCCAAGAATCAGGGAGAAATAAAGTTCTTGCTGTGTAAGGAGGAGCTCGGAAGTGCAATAATGGAATTGGATCCTGCAAGATGGAATCAACAGAAAATGCAGAAGTCAGACCCGTGACGGGAAAGACTGGCAGTGGAATACTGTGGCCCATTCACAGCTTTCCTCTGGCTTGTCTTTCTGTCTCATGTAGGCTTCAGTGTTTGGATGAAAGTGTAACTGGGTTTTGTGAGGTGTGAAAGGGGCAAGGGTCACATCTGGATTGCCTGGTATCCCCACCTGTCTCAGACCCCGGGCAGTTTTGTGATATAAGCTCCACCTGCTGATCAGAAAGAAGCAAAAGGCAAGCGTACAGCTTTAACTGGGGAATTTTAACTGAAATTAGAAGGGAGTGGTGGGAGGGGGCTGCATGTGGGGTGGTGATCCTGCTGCTGCATAGAGCTTTCCAAAGTAATGTGGATGGAAGCCGGGTATCCACTCTAGTTTCAAATGAGGGGCTCTTGGGACCGCAGGGCATTGCTTGCAGTAGGCCGAAAACATGGGAAAAGAAAGAGTAAAGGGAATTCCCTAGGGATTGGGGAAGGGCCTGGTAGTTATCGTAGGGCCAATGGGAGGGGGGAATATGTGAAGGTGCAAAGAGCCAAGGGTGGAGGCCTTGTGGTCGGAGCCAGTCGGGGGGGCCCAGTAGGAGAAAGTTGGAAATGGGGACACACCCTGTGAGTAGGAGGCAGCTGGGGGACAGGCTCAGTGCATGCTGAGGATGCAGATTCGGATTTTTGTGGCAGCACAGAAGGCCCCGTGAGGGATGCAGTGCTGGTGTGCCGGCTGCAGACCAAGTGGATGCCTTATAGGGTTGGTCAGCAGGCTGTTAGGACACGAGCAGGGCGCAGCCAGTACTCTGCAGACTCCTGCTGGATGCCTTGGTCCAAGAGGAAGATGACAGGTCGGAGGGAGGCTTTGGCCTGGGGGCTTTCAGGTTTAACCTCTTAATTCGTTACTCTGACCTCTTGTGGGCAGGCCTGGGAATTACGCTTGCAGCTCAGTGTAGCCGAGATTTGTCTGGTGGGGATTGGCTGAATGTTCTGGGAAGTGACTGCGGGTGTCTGGGATGACCTTCAGGTATCTGTAACCTGCCAGAGTCTAGCAGATCACAGATCAGCAGGTTTTCTGAGGTTACATTCTGTCCGCATTCCGGCTTCCCTAGGCGTAGTCCATGTCATGAATATCTTTGGGAATCCTGGTTATCCCGAAATCACCGGTCAGCTGCCACCCAGCCCCACCCCCAGTCGGAGTTAATTCGCACAGTTAGCAGTGGAACATGGACAACTCTGGAGTACGTTCATAACCACAGGAGCAACTGCTGTTCTTGGAGCCATTTTTTTTTTTTTAACTGAAAGAGTGTTTGTCCTTGGCCCAGCTGTCCAGGGCAGCAAAGAGTTATTCCTTGGGGACTGATGAGCTCATCCCGCTGCCGCACACTGCTGTGCAGAGGGCCCCCTCAGCTTGGGTGGATGGTACATGACACTGGCAGTCGCTCATCCTTCCACACCGGGTCCCCTGCCCTCATTCTGCTCCCTTTGGAGCAGCCCTGTAGCTCCTGTCTGCAGCCCGGAAGGCCTGGGCCCAGCCTGAGCACTGAGCTGGGAAGGAGCTGAGGCCTTCTGGGTTCTGTTTTCAGTTCCCCTTCCTTGTGTGACCTTGGGTGGTTCTCTTTCCCGGCCTCAGTTTTTCCCACATAGGAAGGGCCTCCGCTTCCTCACTCCACTCAAGGATACAGTTTATTTAGAAGAGAGGTGGCTGGTAAATGTAGAATACACAGAAATTGCTAAAACCCTACATGTTAAGGGAATGTACTCAGTGAGACCAGATTTGAACGGAAGTCAAAATGAACCTATTTGTGGGAAAGTCTGACTGGAGTGCAAATAGAATTCCAGTGAGCTTCCCGATGATGTCTTTTCATGCTTTTTTTACCCTGTAAGATTTTATTAGTCTTAATCCTGACGTAATTTAACTCTTTAAGTTTCTACCTGAATTTGTTGGTTGTACTGTCAAGCAATGCTTCCTGCCCTTCCTGATACATCGTGTCCGGGGTTATTGTCCCCTTTCAGTCTTGCCTTCTTCCTCGAGGGACCCATGGGCTCCAGGGACACGAAGGTACCACATCTCAAGCCTTCACATTGTAGATGAAGAAAACAAGGCCTGGAAAGATAATGATCTTGCATAAGAAAATGTATAACTTGATGCCACTGGGGCCTGTCACTGGCCCTGGTAGTCTGAATGGGAAGGCCAGAGAAAAGGAGAAGGACATGGGGCAGCAGGGAGGGGTGGGCAGGGAGCCAGGAAAGCTTGGCCCTGGGCTGTGTGATGAGCCATCGGGGTGGTGGCCCAGCCGGCTGCCTCCTCACTGCTCAACTGGGAGGGGCAGCCTCGGTGATGTAGAGGAGTTATTCTTAGGAATACCGCAGTGCGGGTGTGAGTGAGGGACAGGAGAGCCAGGAGAGAGGAGACTGGAGGGAGAGCCAGGGAAAGGTGTGGGGGCCAGATGGGAAAAAAGGTGGAGGGAGAGGGAAGGGAGGATGGAATCCTGCGTCCACAGAATCTGTCCCCTTGGGTTTTCATTTTCTTGCTGTCCTCTTTGCTACTCCCTAACCACCTTCTTGATACTGAAGTTTCTTTCTTGGTGCAGTTCCCCTCCTTTCTCAGACTGGGAGAAGCCTTTCCAGGATGTAGCAAAATGTGGTAGGCAGTATGAGTGGGATTTGAGAAGTTTCACTGTTCCAGCCAACCTTATAGTAGGGTGCAGTATTGCACACCCCCCAAATAGCCTTCCATCTCTGTGATGTACCAGAGCATGCCCTGGCATGCCACGGAGTGCCCTGTGTGAGGAGCCGACCCTGGGACAGAGACCCCGCCTGTGGCCCAGAGTGTTGTTAGCCTGCTTGTGGGCTTGGTCTCTAAATTCTGCATCCCGGGAGATGCCACCTCTGGCTCTCACTCCCCAATTCACAAGGCACCTTTTCATACTCTGGTTTCCCTTTCCCCCTGGGTTTGGGTGCTTAGTAGTCCCAGGCTCCTGCTTTGCACTGTCACCTCTCTGGCTCACTTAGTGGGGGCTCTGGGTGGGCAGTTTCTGGAGCTTGTGAGGGTGGACTTTGAGTGTCTCCTCCCAGCTCTCTAGCAACTCTGTTGATGCGGTACGTGTCCTGCAGCTGCTTTCACAGGGTTAAATGGCACCACACGAGGCAGGGCGGCAGGCTAGAGGAGCTCTGCTCTGATGCAGGCAGCAGGCGGGAGACCGGATCTGTGCCGCTGAAGGTGGGGGACTGGGCCGGGTGGTCCGGTGTGGGCAGGACGTGGGGGATGAGGCCAGCGTGGCAGCTGCTGGGGCCAGGGCCTGAACTGGGCACCGTAAAGGACCGGAACAGCTGCAGTCCTCTTAAATATAATTGCTGGTTGAGGCCTGGAGGTTCCGGGAAGGCAGCTGGTGAGCTCAGCACTGGCCAGGAAGCGTAGAGCCACCCGACAGCTGCAGCTGCCCAGGCATTCCTGTCCACAGCTCCTCCCTGAGCAGGGAACAGACCCAGGGGCTGAGGCCTGAGCCAGACAGGTGGGGGAGCAGGGAGCGTTAGCGGTAGGGAAGGACTCTGCACCTATGCTCTTTCCCTTCTTCCCGTGTCTGCCAGGTGGGAAGAGGAGTACACGGTGCGGGTGCAGCTGCAAGAGCGAGTGAATGAGCTCCAGGAGGTGAGGGTGCCCCGCTGCCTGGGCTTCCCTCAGTCCTCCCTGTCCCCCCTCAGTCCTGGAGCTGGCTCCTTGTCCCTCCTTGTCTTGTCTTCCTCCCGCAGTGGCAGCGCCACTAATGTCAGGGTTTTCTGCTTGGCTGTAGGAAGCCCAGGAGGCTGACGCCTGCCAAGAGGAGCTGGCGATGAAGGTGGAGCAGTTGAAAGCTGAGCTAGTGGTCTTCAAAGGGCTTATGAGCAACGTGAGTGCCACCAGCGCGCCCCTCACACTCTTCCCCCGAGGGCTTACGTGCAGGCTGCCCGCAGCGGGCTGCCCCAAACCAGGCAGAGCAGGCCTTGCTAGGTGTGGCCTGTTGATTTCCTGTCTATCGCCCCTCCCCCTCCTTGGCTGTGCTTCCGTTTTTTTTCCTTTGCCACCCTCTAGTTCAGGAGAAAAAGAAGGAAGACAGGTCCCTTGCTCTCGAGAGGCAGCATACCTCCATCCTCACTGGGGCTGTTCAGCAGTCAGTGAGGAACGCTGGTCCCGGCCCCGCCCCTCCCAGCGGAGTGGCCCTGGGCGGATTCCTTAACCGCTCCGCCCCCATGCGCTCCTGGGGAATGAAATAGTGAAGGCGTGTACTTGGCAGGATGATTTTGAAGATCCTAATGTACTGAGGATGGTGCTGGCACATACTTAGTGCTAAATAAGTGTTAGCTATTGTTGTCCTTGTTACGCTGCGCTCTCCACTCTAGTAACCCCAGTAGTCTCCGTCTCTCTCTTTCTGGGAGTGTAAGTTCCAAGGGGTACCCCCGATGTCAGATGTCAGAGGCACTGGGCCATGCCCTGCAGGGGCTCCCCACCGGGCCAGGGAGCCGGTGGCGTGAGCAGCCCGGCGTAGGAGCGGGGTGCTGTGGGGAGGGGACGGGGAGGGACACGTGCTGCTTGGAGGAGTAGGCGGCAGCTTCGTGGGGGAAGCGGTGGTGACCAGAAGGATGAGGAGCATCTTGCCAGGGCCTATGGACCCTTATGTGGAGTGTGGGGTGCCTCCTTACTGCTCCCGGTTCCCTGGACAGAACCTGACAGAGCTGGACACGAAGATCCAGGAGAAGGCCATGAAGGTGGACATGGACATTTGCCGCCGCATTGACATCACCGCCAAACTGTGCGACGTGGCTCAGCAGCGCAACTGCGAGGACATGATCCAGATGTTCCAGGTGAGGGCGGAGGGCGGGTGTCAGCCGGCCCGCATTGCCCCCTGCCCGAGCGCCTCAGGAGGGTTGGGGCAGGCGAAGAACCTTCCGTCGTCACTGGCCTGCCACCAGAGCCCGTCTTCCTCCTCGGGGGGATTCCCGTGGCACCCAGGGGCCCTCAGTGGGACTAGCCGGGGGGGCCAGGAGGGGCCTCTGAAGAGAAGTTTCGGAAGCTGTCTCTAACCCATCTCTCCCCCCTCTCTCTGTCTGCTTCCTCTCCTCTCTCTTCCTCTCACCCTCTCTGGCTTTCTCCACAGAAGAAACTGGTTAGTTTTGCTCTCACGCAAGCTTATTAATGTCCCAGTGCCTGTTTCTGAACCACCCAGGCCTCGGCCGTCGGTTCTGACCTGCTGGGCTTTTCAGCGCAGATCTCTCCCCCTTCTCTAGTTTCCTTGCTGTTCCCCCTTTTTCCTCTCTGCCTCACTTCTTCCTGTCCCTCCTCCTTGTGGCTTCCCAGACCTGGGCGCGTGACTCAGGCTCTCCTTTGTGAACACCGTGCGCCCTCCTTGCAACCTGAAGCTTTCTTTTTTGTTCAGTCATTCCACTAGAAAGACCTTCTTTAGGGGAAAAAAAAAATCTTCGTTAGCCGTTGTGCACATCTTCACGTGGTCACAGCAGGCCACTGCTCCCCTCACCTCACGGCTTTGTTTTCTGTGTTTCTTCCTCTCGGTCTGCAGCCGCCCCCCATCTGTGTCTGACTGCCTGTCCCTCGGCAGCTCCGGGGTTCCGTTCCTGTCATCGTAACTGTGTCTTCTCTCTCTGCCCGCCCCTCCCTTCTGCTGGTTCCCGCTTCTCCTCCCTCCCGGCCCACCGCCCGCCACCCTTTCTCCTCATGCACCCGGCCTCGTCTCTGTAGTCTCTGCACTTGTCTCCCATTAAGGTCCCAACCATGGGGGGGCGGAAGCGGGAGCGCAAGGCTGCCGTCGAGGAGGATCCCTCCCTGTCGGAGAGTGACGGGCCCCGCCAGCCCGATGGGGATGAGGAGGAGAGCACGGCCCTCAGCATCAACGAGGAGATGCAGCGTATGCTCAACCAGCTGTGAGTCCCGCAGGCCCATCCCCAGCAGCGCCCCCCAGAGGCCGGAGCTCCCACCCCGCACCAGTCCCCTCTGCCCGGAGGCAGGCCCCGCCCTCCCTGACACCCGGGCTCCCTGTCTCTAGGAGGGAGTATGATTTTGAGGACGACTGTGACAGCCTGACTTGGGAGGAGACTGAGGAGACCCTGCTGCTTTGGGAGGATTTCTCAGGCTATGCCATGGCAGCTGCAGAGGCCCAGGGAGAGGTAACCGCCCCTCCCGGCCTCGGGGCCCCAGCTCTGCCTCTCCAGCTCACTGCCCATCCCCTCCCCTCGCTGCCTCCCTGCTCTGCTTTCCCTCTGTGGCCATCATCCTTCACCAGCTTCTCCCTTTCTTCTTTGTCCCTTTTCTTTTCTTTCTTTGATTTCCTTTAATACAACTTTCTGTCTCTCTCTCTCTCCCCCTCCTTGGCCCCGTGGAATGTCCCCATCCCATCCCTTCCCTGGCCCCCTTTCCCAATCCTTGCTTCTCTTTCTACTCCAGCAGCAGGAAGATAGTTTGGAGAAGGTGATTAAAGACACCGAGTCCCTGTTCAAAACCCGGGAGAAGGAATATCAGGAAACCATCGACCAGATAGAGGTACGGGTGAGAGGAAGCTGAGGACACGGTTCCCAGGGGGGCCGCAGGTGGAGAGGCCCCATCCTGCAGATGGACCCTAGATACCAGGGCCCCCCTTCCTTTGATGGGGAGTGGTGGTCACCCAGCGGTCGTCCCTCCAGTGGGTTCTTAAGATCTCAGGCTCTGGAGGGAGGCAGACAGATGTGGGTCTGCTTCTCAGCTCTGTCACCTAATCACTACTCTGACTTTCCACGTGCTTCTTATTCTGAGCCTGGACATGCGAGTCTTAATACCTCCCTCACAGAGCTGTTTGAAGAGGAAATGAAATAGCACCCATGGAGCTCAGGGCAGTGTTTGTCTCATAGTAAGCGTAAGCATACCCTCTGAGAGTCATCATTGTCGTTGTTATCATTATTATTGTCAGTGCTATAGCAAGGCCGCTCAGAGGTGGACTTGAACTTTATTTCTTCTTCCGCTCAGCCTTTGAACATTGATGTGCGAGTGAAACACCTATCGATTGCCTCTTGCACGCCCCCAACTGGGGACCTGGCCCAAAACCCAGGCATGTGCCCTGACTGGGATCGAACCAGCAACCTTTTGGTTTGCAGGACAATGCCCAATACCCACTGAGCCACACCAGGCAGGGCAGAATTTCTGTTCTTAGCTCCTAGTCTTGAGGAACCTTCTAGAGATGGCAGGTGGTGCTGGTGCTTCAACTTCAACTGTAGGCTGTTAGGGGCTTCAGGGAGGATTTGTGGCACCCTGGATGGAGGGAGCTGCGGGGGCAGGCGGGGGAGGACTTGGAGGTGGTCCTTGGGAGGGGGCCCTCTGCTGAGCACCCTGCCTTGGGGGTGAGGGGCGGACTTCCGTAATTCTCAGCCTCTGTTCAAGTCCACGTGGCATGTTGATGCTCTCGCTGCTCCCCCACGTCAAATGCTCCTGTTCATCTAAGCAAGACCTGCTTTTGGTTTTTGCCCAGGCAGACAAATGTCAAGTTTCACAGGCACAGGCAGATTTATGCTGCAAGCTGAGGAGCCGGGAAGGGAGAACTAGAACTGACCTCTTTCCCACGTCCACCTGTCGCACTGCCTTCTCTCTCCTCCTCTCTCCTTTTCTCCCGCCTTCCCTGACTCACCTCCCTCTTTTGAATGGTGGGTTTAAGGTTTGATGTTTTCACTGTACCTTCAGCCAGGCAGGGACCGTGGAGTCATGATCTGAGGCTGCATCTCTGCCTGGTTCTGCCCTGGGACAAGAGGGGCTTAGTTTAAAACATGACGTGAGCCCTGGCTGGGCAGCTCAGTTGGGTAGAGCGTCATCCTGATAGGCCAAGGTTGTGGGTTTGATCCCCAGTCAAGGCACATGAAAGAAATAACCAGGGGAGGGGGCGTATAAGGGGACTAAATGGTAATGGGAAGAATATAATAAAGATTATATATTTAAAAAAGAAACAACCAGTGAATGGGTAAATAAGTAGGACAGCAAATTGGTGTTTCTTGTTCTCTCCCTTCCTCTGTTTCTAAAAAGCAATACAAATTTTAAAAATGATACTATTATAAAAAAATAAATAAAACATGATGTGAAAAGAAAGAAGAGAAAGTCCTAAGTGGAAACATGCTTTTTAAGGTTGTTTGTCAGTCATCCGATCCCTCTTCGGTCCCAGCAGAATGACACTGAGAGGATGTTGGGAGAGCGGACACGGTGGCTTTGGTGGCTCGGTTGCTCCTGGTGATCCATCCGGGCCACCCAAGGTCCTTTTGTCTCTGTGACCTTTGGTCCCTCAGGGTCACTTGGATGGCGGCAAGGAGCATGTCCCATTATTGGATGGTCAAGCCAAGGCCCAGGGTGGAGGGTGGGAAAGAATTCTTGCTCCCCACCTCCTTCCCTCTCTCCATGTGTGCCCAGCCTTTCCCGCCCCCGTTCCGCTTACCCAGGGAGGCTGGGGCTCCCGTGTGGGCGGTTGTGGCTGTCTCTGTCGTCATGTGTGCTCGTCTCTGCATTAACTGTGTGAATTCGGGGGCACGTGCAGACGTGTAGAGACGACTGGTGGCGGTCCCAGCCTTCCGCTGTGATGGAATATGTACGGGTGATGGAATGTGCAGGGATGGACAGAAGTGGGTTTATAGTCGTGAGAACATGGAGCAGAGTTTATTCTTGTACTATTACTGATTAATTATTGTATCATTTTCCATATAAACCACTGCAAACCTACTTTTTCCCACCCCTGTATTTATTTATTTTTTTTTAACCTGAGATATCTTTTATTAGGCAAAGGGAAGCAGAGGAGCTTGCTTCCATTTTTTTAAAGTGTATTTTATTGATTATGCTATTACAGTTGTCCCAGTATTTTTCTCCCCTTTATCCTTTTCTCCTTCTCTGCCCTGTATCCCCACCCCCCGCCCAACCCTCCTCCATTTCACCCTCCCCTTGGTTCATGTCCATGGGTCGTACATGTAAATTCCTTGGCTTCTCCATTTCCCATACTGTTCCTAACCTCCCCCTGCCTATTTTGTACCTACCAATTATGCTTCTTATCCCCTGTACCTTTTCCCCCATTCTCCTCCTCCCTGCCCCCACTGATAACCCTCCATGTGATCTCCATTTCTGTGATTCTGTTCCTGTTCTAGTTGTTTGCTTAGTTCGTTTTTGTTTTTAGGTTCAGTTGTTGATAGTTGTGAGCTTGTTGTCATTTTACTGTTCATAGTTTTGATCTTCTTTTTCTTAGATAAGTCCTTTTAACATTTCATATAATAAAGGTTTGGTGATGATGAACTCCTTTAACTTGACCTTATCTGGGAAGCACTTTATCTGCCCTTCCATTCTAAATGAGAGCTTTGCTGGGTAGAGCAATCTTGGATGTAGGTCCTTGCCTTTCATGACTTCAGATGCTTCTTTCCAGCCCCTTCTTGCCTGTAAGGTCTCTTTTGAGAAATCAGCTGACAGTCTAATGGGAACTCCTTAGTAGGTAACTATCTCCTTTTCTCTCGCTGCTTTTAAGATTCTCTCCTTATCTTTAATTTTGGGTAACTTAATTATGATATATCTTGGTGTATTTCTTCTTGGATTCAATTTCTTTGGGACTCTAAGCTTCCTGGACTTCCTGGAAGTCTATTTCCTTCACCAGATTGGGGAAATTTTCCTTCTTTATTTGTTCAAATAAGTTTTCAGTTTCTTGTTCTTCCTTTTCTCCTCCTGGCACCCCCATGATTTGGATGTTGGAACATTTAAAGTTGTCCTAGAGGTTTCTCAGCTTCTCGTTTTTTTGAATTCTTGTTTCTTCATTCTATTCTGGTTGAATGTTTATTTCTTCCTTCTGCTCCAAACTGTTGATTTGAGACCCAGTTTCCTTCCTGTCACTGTTGGTTCCCTGTAGATTTTCCTTCATTTCACTTTGTATAGCCTTCACTTCTTCCTTCACTTTGTGACCGTACTCAATCCGTTCTGTGAGCATCCTGATCACCGGTGTTTTGAACTGTGCATCAGATAGGTTGTCTATCTCCTTTTCACTTAGCTCTTTTTCTGGAGTTTTTTAATTTTTAAAATATTATTATTATTTTATTTTTAAAAGATTTTATTTATTTTTAGAGGGAGGAAGAAAGGGAGAGAAATATCAGTGTGTGGTTATCTCTCACATGTTCCTCTCTGGGGACCTGGCCCAGAACCCAGGCACTTGCCCTGACTGGGAATCGAACCAGTGACCCTTTGGTTCACAGGCTGCTGCTCAATCCACTGAGCCATACCAGTCAGGGTTTTTTCTGGAGTTTTGATCTGTTCTTTCATTTGGGCCATATTTCTTTGTCTCAGTGCTTCACCCCTGTATTTTGTGCTAGGATACATTCTTCCTTGTCCTGCTGAGCGATGGGCTCCAAAAGCAGCCCTCTCTACCCCGACTCTCCCGAGGTGGAGAAGTTGGGGCACAGGGGGCATCACGTTCGCTTCCTAGACTGAACAGGCGGCACGTCACGCTCCTCTGACTCGCTGCTGTGGCAGCCCAGCCGGAATCCCGGCTCTGGAACCGAGGCTGCCGCTCCAGCTGCACGCACCCAGGCCACCCTCTCTCTCACATGTCGGTGTCCTGACCGTCCCTTTTGTCTGCCCTGTGACCCACTTCTGCCTCCAAGTTCCCATCCTCTCCCTGTCCAGGTCAGATTCGTTATGGGTGGTTTCCTCTGTCCAGTTCAGATTATTCACAGCTAGTTTCCTGCCCTTTCTCTTTGCTCTCAGGCAGTCAGGCACATCACCTCCAAGCGGCTTCACTCTGCCTTCGCTGCTGGCCCCTGTCCTTTGTACCCAAAACAAAGGGAGGCAGCAGATTGTCTCAGCCCAGATCTTTACCACCCCTGCACCGCCTCTCAGCTCTGCCTCAGAGCCTTTTTTGCAGAAGCGGGCTCTGGGAGGGAGACCATATTTGTCTGATTCTGAGGCCCACATATTTTCACACGTAGCAGTGCCAAAGTGGGATACGTCTTCTAACCAGTAGGACATTCAGTATGGCAAGAGGTCTTTCTGTTAGTCTCTGAAATGGCTTTCAAGGGAGAAAGGGAAGTAACGAGGAGAAAATGGACGGTAAGAGAATCGAGCCCCTTTCAACAGTGCAGACAGGTGCCCGGCTTTATGCCAAGAGTCTTGCAGATACCTCACAGAGTTAACCATCCGTTTCCCGTCCAGGTGCCTGGCATGCACACGTGCCGATGAGCAAGGCCTGTGGCCAGCGCCTGCAGGAGTTCCCGAATTAGTGAGGGACACAGACTGGGTGCCGTGTTGTTGGCGTGTGGGGGATGAGCCAGTCATGCGGGGACCCCGGGCAGCGCGTGCGCAGACAGTGTCCCTGCTCCGGGACGACGTCCTCTCCCTCCTGCCCCTGTGAGCATTCCTCTCCTGGATGCTCTCACCAGTCTGTTGAAAGAATGCAGGCCTGGGGCAGATACATTTGCATTCCTCTGTGATACTATTCTAGGCAAAGATTGCCAGGAAAGCCAGAAGGAATGATAGGGTATCAAGTGCCTTCCGCCATATTCTGATTTATTTTTAAACCTGAGCCGTCAGCCATGCTGCCTGGGCCCCCTGCGCAGCGGTGCTCTAGGGGTGTTTTCCTCCTGGGGGCTGGGAGCACGGTCCCTGCTGACTCGATGGCCCGGCCCTGTTCTCGCCACAGCTGGAGCTGGCCACAGCCAAGAACGACATGAACCGGCACCTGCACGAGTACATGGAGATGTGCAGCATGAAGCGGGGCCTGGACGTGCAGATGGAGACCTGCCGCCGGCTCATCACCCAGTCTGGGGACCGGTAAGAGCCTCCCCGGAGTGTAGGGCGCCGCCCACCTGCTTCCTCCAAGGGCACATGCAGGGAGGGAGCGGTGGACCAGAGCCCCGTGGCCGGCAAGCCGTGGAGACCCCCCCACAGTGACTTAGTCGCGTCTGGATGTGGGGCTCTCATTGGACGTCACCTGGTACGTGTGGCCCAGCTGGGTGTGCATTCGTGGCTGGATAGCTTGTATCTCCCAATGCCACCAGCTCCGGTGGTTCCTCTAGTTAGAGGCAGCTAAAAACTGACAAGGAACAGAAGGGGTGTGGGGGCAGATTTTTATCTAAAATCAGAGCCACCATTTGTGCGTTTGACCAGGAAAGCAGCACTGCAACAAAAAGTAAATAAAAAAAAAATCACGCAAGTACTTCAAATAGACATAAAGCTGGTGCCTCGAATCAGTGCACTTGGGCTCAGCTGGCATCTCCTCGGAGACCAGATGTTTCTGAACTCTGAGCCTCCCGAAGGTCTCCAGAGATAAAGGTGGGGTCGTCTTCCCATTGGTGTGGGGAGGGGGAGGTTTCCTTCTCCCTCCCCACTCCTTCAGCCAGCACCGCCCTCATGCCAGGGTCCTCCTGCCCTTACCTGAGAGGTCATTCACCTGCCCACCAGAGAATAAGGCCAAGGGAGAGGGCTGCCCGCCTCATCAGGACTCCTGTGTGTCCCAAGGTGACAACTGGTGTTTTTTTCTAGAAAGTCTCCTGCTTTCACTGCGGTCCCGCTTAGCGACCCGCCGCCGCCACCACCGCCAAGTGAGACCGAAGACCCCGATCGGGAAGTCTCCTCTGATAGCTCCATGAGATAGGGACCTGACCTGGTCCCACCCTGGTGGGAACGCACCTTTCACCTCAGCAGAGTGGGGGGTTCGCAGAAGGGGAGCTTCGTTTGTCCTGCTGTACCAAGCCTGGCCGCTGGGGGCAGGGCTGCTCCTTCCTCGGGCCTCCTCCCTGGGCCTCTCCAGAGTTTTGTGGTGTCTGGAGTGAGGCTTGGCCTGCCCTTCCCAGCTGGGGCTTTCCCGCCTTCACGCGCGGGTGTCTGCTACTCCCCATCTTTAAAGTGCTGCCAGTGTGCTCGTGGCCCCGTAACTTCTCCACTGAATGAGGGATGTGATTGTCACGCCATCCTTGCCCTGCTGTGGCCTAGAGCCAGCTCGCGTCGGATTCTGAACTGGTGCTAACTGGCTTGTGCGGCGTGGGCGGTGGGCGAGCGGGAGAGGCCCCTCTGTGCTGCAGGTGGAGGGGAGCAGCACTGGGCAGGGCGCTGTGTCCTCCCTCCGTTGTCCAAGTGCTCCTCCGGTCACCTGCCTGTGGACAGGAAGGACTGGCTGAGACCCCCTCCCTTGGGGAAATGCCATGCACCGAAGGGCCTCAGTGCCTTGGTCTAGGTGGCTTCTGACTGCCTGGGTGCAGTATCACGGAGGGAGATGGGAAGCCCTCCCAGTCACCGCTGAGAATACAGAAAAAGGCGAAGCTACTTGGGTGTGTGGTCAGGGTCTCCGTTTCTTCAAGTGTGAGCTGAAGATGTGCCTCCTCTGTGTCTGTCGTACACTGAGAGCAGCAGGCTGAAAAAGATGTCTGAACTTGCGAACCTTGGAGAGACTGGGGAGATGTGATCGAGACCTCAGCTTAACTGCCTGGGGGCGGTGGAATCTTTAACAAGAATGAAACTGGCGAGTATTTATTGAATACTTTGTGTCACTGTTTTGAAACACTTTGTGGTGGCAGCTACACAGTCCTGAGGTGTGCCCTATTTCCTCTCATTTCACAGACATCAGGTACAAGGTGAGGCCCAGGAAGTTAGAACTTGCCCCGTCTCAACCCAAGTGGTGGGCACCGAGCCCAGGTGCATCACCTCCTCGCCCCCTCATGCCCCAGATTAAATGGTGCTCACTGCACACTGGGTGAGGTGTGAAGTCCATGTGCAGCCCACCTGACAGCTGGACGGCAGAGAGAAAAAGGCCTGGCCCTTTTAAGTGTCCCTGCTGGACACAACACCTGTAGACAGGGGGTGGAGGGGGGAGCCAAGTAAGAATGGCTGTTCTTCACACCAGTGGTGTGTGGACACACACTTTATGGTCTGTTTTTTAAACCCATGGGAGTTTGAGATTTTTTTCTTAAGACTTTACTTTTAGAGGGGAAGGGAGAAGAGGGAGGTAAACATTGACGGGCTGCCTCCTGTAACCCCCCATTAGGGAGCTGGCGCGTGGGGGCACACTTTGTAAGGGCTGCTTCAGGTTATGCGGGCTCTAATCTACCACCAAGGTTGTGCCTGGCAGGGCCAAGCAAGGCCCTTTGCAGATCTTAACTAGAACAGTTGCACCTTAGTACCAGCCCAGCTCCTTTCCCCTTTGTCCTCAACCCTGAAATAAGATAAAGCAGAGTTGGCTGGGTGCAGTGAACTTTATTGATGGTGCATGACAAGGCAGGGCTCCCTATGCCCCTCCCCTCTTCAGGGGGTCTAGGATGGAAACTGGAGGTCAGGAGATTCTCAGTGTGTTGGGGGATCGATCTGGGGCAAGGACTCCCCAGCAGCTGAGGGTCTCTTCCTGTCGCTGGGGCTGGTGGTCCATGGGGCTCTTACTCCTTGGAGGCCATGTGGACCACAAGGTCCACCACCCTGTTGCTGTAGCCAAATTCATTGTCATACCTGGAAGGGGATGCACAGTTAGGGTTATATTCCTGATCCAGCCACCAGGTGGCACCAGACCCCCACCCCCAGTCAGTTTAAATACTGTCCCCGCCAGGGCAGCCACACACCAGGAAATGAGCTTGACGAAGTGGTCATTGAGGGCAATGCCAGCCCCGGCATCGAAGGTGGAGGAGTGGGTGTCACTGTTAAAGTCACAGGAGACAACCTGAGGAAAGGAGAAGGGCAAGTGTGAGAATCCAGTCTTGCTCAGTGGGGCTGTGTGGACACCAAGCTCCCTGTCCCATCAGTACCTGGTCCTCGGTATAGCCCAGGATACCCTTGAGGGGGCCCTCTGACGCCTGCTTCACTACCTTCTTGATGTCATCGTATTTGGCCTAACAAGGTAAAATCAACATGGTTATTAAAGTTTCGGTATTGCCACCATCCTACTGGAGACAAGATCCCAGCCACCAAAGCGGTTCCAACCCATACTTACAGCTTTCTCCAGGCGGCAGGTCAGATCCACAACCGACACATTGGGGGTGGGGACACGGAAGGCCATGCCAGTGAGCTTCCTGCAGACAGAGAAACAGTCAGCACCAGCTCCTGGCTCCCCTGGTCCCCGTGTCTGGAAATGCAGCGAAAAGCCTCACCCGTTCAGCTCAGGGATGACCTTGCCCACAGCCTTGGCAGCGCCAGTGGAAGCAGGGATGATGTTCTGGGCAGCCCCTCGGCCATCACGCCACAGCTTGCCAGAGGGCCCGTCCACGGTCTTCTGGGTGGCGGTGATGGCGTGGACTGTGGTCTGGGGACATGGAGGACGGGGTGAAGGCCCTGCACAGTGCTCACGGCCTGCCCTTCAACCTCCCTCCCCACCTCCGGAAGAAATAAAGGGGATGCCGTGACCTGAGCCAATCAATCCTCAGGGACCCATGTTTTCCACAGCTGCCCCCGCCCCTGCCCAGGGCTGTGTTGTGGGGAGGGGGGGGGGGAGAGAAATGAATGTGCTCTGGTCACTTCCCCACCTTACCATGAGTCCCTCCACGATGCCAAAGTTGTCGTGGATGACCTTGGCCAGGGGGGCCAAGCAGTTGGTGGTACAGGAGGCATTGCTGAAAAGGGAGAGGCAGGTCAGGGGCGAACAGGCCCTCTCCCCGCAGCACCAGCCAACCTCACCTTGCTCCCTCTGCCATGCTCACCTGACAATCTTCATGGAGTTGTCATACTTGTCCTGGTTCACACCCATCACAAACATGGGGGCATCCGCAGAAGGGGCAGAGATGATGACCCTCTTGGCTCCACCCTTCAAGTGAGCCTGCAGCAGAGGAGGAGTTAGAGACCCCAGGGTCCATCTTTCCTGCCTTCTTGCTGTCCCAACTCCTTTCACCTGCAGCCTCCTCACCACTCACCCCAGCCTTCTCCATGGTGGTGAAGACACCAGTGGACTCCACAACATACTCAGCACCAGCATCACCCCATTTGATGTTGGCGGGATCTCGCCTGCAAGGGAAGACAGGACCAGGTTCAAGGACACGAGTACCATGTACCCTAGGTGGTCACCCCATCTCAGCACCTCCCCAGAACAAATTTCTTCCTCTCCTTCCACTTACTCCTGGAAGATGGAGATGGACTTTCCATTGATGACAAGCTTCCCATTCTCAGCCTTGACTGTGCCTTTGAACTTGCCATGAGTAGAATCATACTGGAACATGTAGACCTGGAGGGACAAGTGAGGGCATCAAAGGACTGCTACTCATCAGCCAGCCTCTGCCTCCTACACCTGCCGTGAAGGCAACACACACACTCACCATGTAGTTGAGGTCAATGAAAGGGTCATTGATGGCGACAACGTCCACTTTGCCAGAGTAAAAGGCAGCCCTGGTAACCAGGCGCCCAATACGGCCAAATCTGAGGGGTAGAGAGGCGAGAAGGAGGGTGCTGAGAATTCTCCTGGGTGTGTTAAGTGACCTGTGGTCCACTCACACTTTCAGGGGGCAGACAGCCCATCGCTGCCACCAGAAAGTCCCAAAAGGTCTACTTTATCTTCCTCCAGCAAGGCCACAAAACGAAGGCTCCTATTCTGTCTGAATAGTGATTAGGCCCAAAGCCCTGCCTGACCCCCCAGTCCTCTGAAATCTTTCAAGTGACAGTGCAGGGCACTGCTACTGCCACCCACAGTCTAGGCACATGCCTGACACATGGTATTCATCACCCCCACTCCGTGCCCCAGGAATGCTTGCTCCTACTTTGCCCAGCTTCAGGCCACACCCACTATGGAGCAAAGGCCTGTACACTCAGCAACATCGAGCTCAAAGGGTAAGAGTAAAGGTCAGAAGGTAACCGTGTGGGGAAAGCCCGCCCCTTCTCTAAGTCCCTCCTACAAAAGGGAAGGTGATGGGGGAAACTAGCTGTTCTCAACCTCAAACCCTGGGGGCGGGGGGGGCAGTTCTAATTACAAAGCCACCTGCCCTTTGTAGTTTTCTTCCAGAAATCAGGTGTAGGAGCAACACTTGTGTGTGTATAGGGAAGGAGGTGGGAGCACAGAAGCCAGGCCCCCAGCTGCAGAAAGGTCAGGTGCTATATTTAACCCCAGATTAGGGTAGAGTCAGGATCTGGTTTCTGGAAGACAGGACCGGGGAGAAGGGCAGGGATCCCAAGGCTCCCCCTGACATCTAATCCTCCCAGTGACCTTTACAACCTGGTCTTTAGGGTTGGGTGAGTTCTAGGCATCGATGGGAGGCACTTCAAGGGGAGCTGGTGTGGAGGGGCTGCTGCTACAGGAGCCATTTTATGGTGAAAATTTCTAAGTACCATGACTCAGCTCCCCTGGCATGGCACTAAGCCACAGCTACCACACCACCCCAGAAAAAAAAAAAAAGGAGCCCCCACAAAGCCACATTTTTGATTCATTAGAGGATCACCTACAAAAAACATCCCTTCCGAGGGGCAATCTGGATGGCCGGTTAAGGATGGTCTAGTCTGGAGTGAATGTGACCCGGCTCTGAGGTCCAGCTCTGGGAGAGCAGCACCAGGAAAGCCTTGCCTCACCAGGTTTACCGGATAAAGGCGACTCCACCCCACTGAGGCAGGAGGAGAAGGATTAGTCATAGTTAAGGAGGGAGGAAGGCTGGAGAGCTAAGTAAGCGAGGTTACCTAACGGTGGTTCATTCATTTCCTTCCCGATTGCAACATGGCGGCTAGGTTACCGCAAAGGAGCCCTCCCGGCTGCGTGTGCCTGTGTGCGCGCAGCTGTGCCTCCGGCATCCCCCCCTCGCTGTGGGGCCAGGTGGGGGCAAAGGGGGCTGGGGGAGGGGCTCCTCCCCAGCACGTGACCCCGCGGGGCGCGAAAGGAAAGAAAGAAGCCCCAGCTAGGGGACTAAAGAGATGGATCCAAAGCCAGAACTGGGGACTCTCTTGCTTATCTGGGGCGGGTAGAGAAGGCCCCGGGTGACTTGTCCCCGCAGGGGCGGAGTTACAGGAGGCGCAACAGCTGGGGGTGGGGGACAAGAGGCCCTCTGAGAGCCTCCGCCAGGTCAGAACTCTGACCTTGAGTTCTCCTTGGGGGAAGGGTACGACCATCCCCCCCGACGTCCCTCCAGCATTCACAGAGGCCCAGTCAGGGCAAGACCTGCAAACCCTTAACTTACCCGTTCACTCCGATCTTCACCATCGTGTCTCAGGGTTGAGGCTTCTGGGAAAGGAGGGTGAGCATCAGGGCACCGGGCTCAAATGCGGTCCTCTCCTCCCCTCTCCCCACCTTCCCCCCCGCCCCGCTTCTCCTCATCCCCCTCGTTTCCTGGCCACCATCCCTTCCCTCCGTCTCTGCACGTATCCCTCCACTGTTGCACTGCGACGCCCACCCAGCGGACCTCACCCCGCAGCTGCGCCCCCGGGCCCTCACGCGCCCGCAGCTCCTTTGTAATGTCCCTGAGGCCCTCGTGGCGCCTGCCTGTTTTTACTTTTACCTGGCACTGCGCAGGAAAACGCGGCTGTCTGTCGAACAGGAGGAGCAGAGAGCGCTGGGGGGAGGCTGCAGTCGCAATTTATGGAAACCGGGCGTGGCCGAGGCGTGGTGAAACCGAGGCACCTCCTTCCCGCTTGCCCAGTCCCAGCCCAAGGGCGCGGAGGCCTGAGCTACGTGCGCCCGTAAAACTTCGAGTAGCCCTGTCCCTTTTTTTCTTTTGGACCCGCCTGGTTCTTCGGCTGTGCACGCCCTGCGCGTGCGGGCTAGGGACGGAGGGGGAGGTGACTGAGTGACCGGGACGGTGCTGGGGACGTTCCTGTAGGCACGCCGCAGACGGTGGGCTCGAGGACCCGGAGCCCTTGTGAGAATTGAGGACATGCAAGAGCCAGGAGCGTTAGTGTCGCAGCATGGATGACACGGGAGGACTGGGAGCAGGTGGGATGCGGAATTGGAGCAGGAGCCCGGGGCGGCGGGCGGCTGCTCGCTGCCTCCCCTTCCCTTTTTCTTTTACAAGCAGAGGCGGGAAGGCTGAGGAACTTCTTGAGGCTCTTTGGTAATGACACAGGAAGAGCCGAGGAAAAGGCCCGGGAGGGGCCAGCCCCCTCCCCCCGCCCCCTCTCCTGGCTCAGGGCCTCTCTAGGCTAGGGGCCTGTGCTGGGCACTGAGCACTGGGGCCTGGAAAGAAAGGAAGTTAAGGCGGAGGCGTCTGCTCTGAAGGTCAGTCACGCTGTCCTGCAGCTCCGGACGCCGGGAGACCCGGTAACTGGGGCAGACAGGCCGGGCGGGCCCTGTATGCCCCAGCGGCTCTCCCTCAGGCCTGGCGGGGGCCCCAGAGGGAGGATGGGATCACTGCTGGGAGCCTCCCACAAAGTCGCTCCTGGGAAACCTGAGGGCAGCGCCACCCAGGCTGGGAGACAATGTCCCTTTCATCCCCTCCAGCCCAGGGCAGAGAGCGGGACGTGAGGGCGGAAGTCCCTCCCCATCCGGGGTCGTGCTGGCCAGCCCGGGAGCCAGGGACTCGCTTTCACTGGCTGTGCCCAGGAGATGTTGGGGGCAGGGTGAGGAGTCCCAAAGAGGGAAAAGATTGGGAGGTCTTGGGCACCTGGTGGGAACAGGCCCCCAGCCCCTTCCCACATGTGAGGTAGAGGGAGCCACGGCTGTGCCAGGTTTGGGAGCTGAGGATGGGGGGAGGGCTGGTTCTGAGCACTTGGAAGAAAGAGGGGTTTGGAGGGGGGTGGAGTGAAATGGACATTGCCTATCAGCAGGTGCACGGGCCGGGGATCTGGGGCCTCTTTGCTGGCCCAGCATAACCTGACACCAGCCCCCTTTTCTAGCTGAAAAGCCTGGGGCTAAGTTTAGCTGGTGATAACCTTTGCTTAAAAGGCAGAGAGCACGCTGTCCTGCACCCCGACTCCAGCCTCAGTCCCTTCCCTTTCTGGGATTGCCCTCCCTTGTTGGTGCCGACTTTTCACAAACAGCAAGAGCAGGGCCAGAGGGCACCTAACGTTGAGAGGAGGTGGGAGGCGCCCACCCTGCAGAGTGAGCTGGGGAAGAGGAGGGGAGATGCAGCTGCTACTCACCCATTAATGCTTTCTCTGACCAGGGCTGTAGGAGCCCCTCCAAGCTTCTGCACTACCCAGAGCGTGTGTCCGAGGTACTGGCTGCCTCTTTGTCTCATGCTTGTCATTTTTCATTACTGTCCTCTCTCAGTCAAAACGAACAAAAAACCGCCCCCCAAAACCTGAGCTCCCACTGACTCAGTCTACTGTTGTCAGGACAGCAGGCTGGTGCCTCCTGTTCCAGGTGACTCAGAAGACTGGGAGAGGTGGAAGGGGTGATGGGCTTCAGGTGGCTACACATTAGCAGCCCCTGCACCTGAGGGGCTGGACTTCCTGCAGCCCCTATAACCTGTTTCCAGAGACACTGTCTAGAGCTAGGGGGGATCACGCCCTAAGCTGCCATCAGGCAGGCCAGTCACCTGTCCTTTAGAAGCACAAGTAGGGTGGAGCTAGGACACAGTGGAAACCAGCCTTTGGTCTAGAGTGGGGGTTTTTCAAGCTCATACTGCTTGGCATTTGGGGTTGAATAATAAAGTTGTGAGGTCTGTCCTGTACATTGTAGATTATTTAGCAACCTCTCTGCCTCTGCCCAGTAAGTAGATGCTGGTAGCATCTCTCCCCTCTAGGTTGTGATAACAAAAAAGGTCTCCACACATTGCCAGATGCCCACTAGAGGGCAAAATTGCCTGCAGGTAAAGAAGCACAGATTTGGAGACTAGACACTGCATAATTCTCCACAGTGGAGCGATCTTGTCACGTGCAGTTATCAGATCTTGAGACGGCCCGGTACTTACAGGCTCATCCTCTCTTTCTGGATTAATCTGCCACCTGCATCCGGGCTAACATGAAAGGTGGAACAAAGACAAGCTTAGGTAAGACGTCTAAAAGTAGATAAAACATTTATTCATTAGAAAACAAGGAGAAAATTGGGACATCTGCGATAGTATCAACAATACAAAAAAACAAGGACTTGCAAACAGTCTAGTAAAAGCTCAATTCAGTTCCGTTAGTTTGGTTAAAAAGAAATGTCTTCCATTGTACAGATGATTTGTATATTAAAAACCCAAGGAGACAGGCAAACAAGTATTTTACAAGGGGCGTGGAATTCAAGGTCACCCCACAAGATGCCCTGCACAGCAGGGTCGGGAACAGGCAAGCCGAACTCCTAGGACCTGTGCCTGCGCGTCGATGCTCGGCGGATGGGAGTGATTTTCTTTGGTGTCTCATCCTCCGTCATCTCTGCTGAAAGCTCTGTAAAGCATTGGAGTGAGAAAAAGCTGAGTCACAAGGATGGTGAACAATAGATCTCAGAAAACAAATGGGACAGGCCCAGACCACACGGCAGAAATAAAGCCCAAACTGTACAGGGAGGAAGATGGCCGGGGCGCGGGAGCTGGTGGAGAGAATCGACACAGCAGGAGCCCATCAAAACCAGCCCCCAGCCCCACCCCCAGGCTGCCTCCCTTCTGGGCCGGCCGTACCTTCCTCACTGGATTCATCACTGGAGAAGACAATCTGGGGTTTCTTTTTCTTAACCAGCCGCTGGGTGCTTGGATGCCGCTGGGTGCTTGGATGCCGGCGGGCAGTGCGGCGGGGCTCCGGTGTGACAAAGTCACTGTCCGAAGCTGCAGAAGCCACGTGCTGGTGCCTAGAGACTAGAAATGGCAGAGGATGTGAGTCCAAAAGGAAGAAAAGAACCTGTTTCTGAAAGGAGAGCTTGTCTGGTCGGCCCGCCCGTGGGGCTGCCTCGCGTACCAGAGGACTGTTTCCTGGCTGATGGCGTTTTCAGGCTATCTCCTTGGCCAAGCTCAAGTTCCTCTATTGCATCCAGCCCTCTTGTGTGGCAGGCCCGAAGCTTCTGCTCAAATTCATCTATGAGAGCCTGGGGGGAAAGAGATCAAGACGAGGCTTGGAAATACAGTTATTTCTATGAATAAAAAGAACACAGGCCATGAAGAGACATGGTGAAGCTTAAGCCGCACGTCACTAAGCACAGGAAGCCGGTCTGGGAGGGTGTATGCTCTGTGACTCCAACTATATGACACTCAGGAAAAGGCAACACTGGGGAAACAATAAAAGGACCAGTGGCCGCTGCCAGGGTTTGCGGGGAGAAAGGGGTGACTGGGGAGCACAGAATGTTAGGGCAGTGAGACCACTATGTACGGTACTGTAACGGTGGGCACAGGTCATGTACATCTGTCCAACCCCACAGAACGTACAGCAGCAGGTGACCCTCATGTCAACTACGGACTTTGGGTGACAGTGATGTGCCCACGGAGGCTCATCGGTGGTAACAGTGTGTCACCTTGGTGGGGACGCTGATAATGGGGAGGCCATGCGTGTGTGGGGGCACAGGGGGCCAACTCTATACCTTCCACTCAGTTTTGCCTTGAACCTAAAGCTGCTCTAAAAAATAAAGTCTATTTAAAAAGAGTGAGACAGGAAGAAACAGGAATGGCAGACAGAAAGGTCTGGTCTTAGGTCCCTCTGGCTCCGTGGCTGCTGTTAGGCGGGGGATGGGGAAGGCGGGTGATGGGGAAGGCAGGTGCAGAGCCTCAGAACCCTGCAGACTGCGCTAAGTGGTGTGGCACCCAGCAGGAGCTGCTCACCTTGCCCTCGGGCTTGGCTCCCCGCCGCAGCTTGCCCACGATCGACAAAAAAGCATCAAAGATGGACTCATCGGACAGTTTATCTCCAAAGCATTCAAAGTTGTCCAGCATCTTACGGAGGCCTCGCTCTGTCAGGGGCAGCTGTGACATACAGTAGGCCAGGTCCCGGTGCTGCCGCTCGGTTCTGCGGACGGGAAAGGCTTTGTGAGGAGTGGCAAGGGACAGAAGAGGTCAATGCCCATTTTCCCCCAGGGTCCCCCGGCCCCAGGATGCTCTTTCCCCTCCAGGCCCCTCTCAGCACAAGGAACACTCAAGGGAGGCAGCATACCGGGCTGTGCGGAACCGCTGGCACAGCTTCTCCACCAGGCTCTCAGTCTGCTTGTCCTTGGTGATGTAGGAGAGCAGCTGCCTGCAGGGAGGTGGGGTGCAGACACGCCACGGCTCGGGGCAGCTCCAAACCCACCACACCAGCCCCTGAACCGCCCCTAGCACTAGCCTTCTGCCAATCTCTTGACTTAGTAGAAGCATCTGTGCCACGGCCCACAACTGCCTCGCTTTTCCTCTGTCTCCCATACTGCAGAGAAGGGCCCACCCGTTCTCTGCGGTCTTTTCACTGTGAATGGGAATTTGTAACAACAGCAGCTGCCATCTAGGGAATACTATGTGCCTACCACCATGTCAGGAACTTTTACCAAATTGGATCTTCTCAAGAACTAAGGGGTACACGTTATTGGCCTCATCTTATTCTATTTTTAATTAAAAAAAAAGATTTATTTATTTTTAGAGAGAGGAGAAGGCGGAGAGAGAGGGAGAAAAACACTGGCATGTGATACATTGATCGGTTGCCTCTCGAACACCTGCAATTGGGGACCCACACAACAACCCAGGCGTGTGCCCTGACTGGGACTTGAACCGGTGACCTTTCGGTTTTCAGGCTGGCACTCAATCCACTGAGCCACATCAGCTAGGGCTTGCTTCATTTCATACAGGAGAAAAAAGCAGAGAGAGGTTCAGTTATTGCTGAAGGCCATACAGGTAAAAAGTAGCAAAGCCAAAAGGTGGCTAGTTCGATTTCCAGTCAGGGCACATGTCTGGGTTGTGGGCCAGGTCTCCAGTTGTGGGTGAGTGAGAGGCAACAGATCGATGTTTCTCTCCCTCTCTTTCTCCCCTTCTCTCTAAAAGTAAATAAATAAAATCTTTAAAAAGCAGCAGTTAGAATTTCAGTACAGTTGTGACCTTTCGATGGACTGCATGTATGGTGGTGGTCCCAAATGATTATAATGGAGCTGAAAACTTCCTGCCACCCAGTGAAGTCACAGCTGTTCTTAATGTCGAAGCCCATTATTTGTGTGCGTGCGTGTGTATATGTGTGTGTGCGCACGCGCATGTAGTGGCACTAGTGTAAGACAACCCACTGCTGCCACTCGTATACAGTACAGCCCATATAATTGTGTTCAGTGCATATTACTTGATAATGATAATAAACTTACTGGTTTATGTATTGAGTGTATTATACTTTTTACCATTATTTTAAAGTGTATACTTTGCATTTACTAAAAAAAAGTTTGCTGTACAACAGTGTGCAGTGTTGCCCTGGCAGCAGCCTCACCCTCTCGTGGGTACCACGTGTCTTGACTGCGCCCTTTTCACCTGTGTCTGATGGCCCCTGCTGTGGTTCTGCTCGGCAACATGCTGTACAGGCTGCGGCCAGGGAGCAGTGGGCTGTCCCGCACGGCCTAGGTGTGCAGCGGCCCGAGCCACCTGGGTTTGTGTAAGTGCGCCCTGTGGTGTTCGCACTGCGATGAGGTTGCCTAACAACGCATGTCTCAGATAGTGTCCCTGGTGAGCGGTGCGTGTCTGTACAGGTCTGCCTGATTGCTGAGCCTCTGCCAGGTGAGAAATATGCCCCAAGGCCCAGGGAGCCATACTTCATGATGATGTGAAAAGGCTGTTCCTCCACCCCTCCCTCGGGGTCTGACAGGCGGCTGATGATGTCTGGAAGGAGGTTATAGATGGCATTGCCCTGTAAGACAGAATTATGTTAAAGACACGGGGTGACCCACACGCTCCCTTGGCAGCAAACCCTAAGCTGCCTCTCTGCCTCTCACCTTGTGGGAAAGCTCATTGAAGAAGGTCTTGGCCAGGGCAGCGATCTGAGGCACGGGGTCAATGAGCAGCACGGCCATCTCGCTGACCTGGCCTTTCACCTTCACCATGTCCTTTAGGATTAGGTGGGTCATCACTAGCCCTGCTGTTTTCCGCACTTGCTGAGCTGGGTCCCGAAGGCTAGGAATAAAATCTCAAGTCATTGGGACCGAGGCCATGGGCTGTACCCTGACACTGGCAGGAACGACCCTCGGCAAGAACTAGCACCCCTTCTTATATGCCATTCCAGAAGCAGTTAGGAAGCTGTCTAGAGTTGGAAGCTGGGATGGAGTACAGAGACCACGCTTCATCCAAAGTTTTACGCAGTTTGGCAATAGCTTTGGGGTCATACCTAGCCAGGACCTGTACAGGTCAAGTACTAAGCAGATGTTGAAAGGTAATCCTAAAGACTGGGAAAATACAGCTGCAGTAATTCTCATAGTGACTTAATGAGTCCCTCCCTGAGCTGGCAGGGACTGCTAAAGGGTTGTGAAGGATCTCTTACCGAGCATAGAGATGAGGTGTCCAGGGGTCCACCAGGTTGGGGAAGCGGATGGCCAGATCCCCAATAACTATCATGATGTTAGACCGGAGAATGGGGAGAGAGGACTTCTCTAGCATGGTGAACAGAAGACGAAGCTGAGAGTCACAGAAAGTGGCACTAAGGGCAAGGAGAGGATCGTCAGGGAAATCACACCATCTCCTTCCTCCTTGAGAAGGCGGTACCGACCCCAGGGCCTACCTGATCATGCAGAACTTGCCAAGGGTAAGCGCCGCAGCGGCACACAGCTCCGGGTTGCTGTAGAGGCCAGGGTTGTTGCAGACTTTAAGCAGCAGGGGAACAAAGGCAGCGAGTATCTGTTCACCTGTTGGAAGAACAATTCTAGTTTGCGACAGGTTACACCTCAGCTGGGGAGAAGGTCACTGAGCAATTCTTCTTACCACCTAACAGTTCCACCTCACAGATGCCGCGGATTAGTTCTGCCTCTGTGTCGTCAGCCGTGGCCCCGACCAGCCCCATCTCCTCCTCCATGGTGGCCTCAGTGCTGGCGTTCTAATGGGAAGGCAGCCAGAGATCATGAGTGATCAGAGACAACAGTTCTGATTCCAGCCTATCCTTCACTTTAAATGAATGGATCTGGGGAAAGGCAAATTCTGCAAAACCATTCATAGAATTGTCAAATGTGTCTATAGAAAGAAAGGACTCCTGAATTAAAGAGGAAGAGAACTAGGTCATATAGTTGTTTTTAAGCTGCAAAGCATAGTCCTACAACTCTTAACTCATCCTCATAGAAGTAAATACTCTATATATGGTAGATCGATCATGCCAGACAATGGTTCAAGGTCATAGAGAAGGTGGAGCTTTATCCCACTGCTGTTAGGCTCTGCATCTCACAAATCTGCAAGCCATCCCCACCTCCGGTGGAGTGAGCACCAGGCCCCGTCAGGGGGCAGGCCCAGTCACAAAAGCTGATGGGTGAGTGCATGTCCTAACAAACACCGCCTCAGGCAGAGCCTCTATTTTATGCCGAGGTCTTTAACTAAAAGCTCTGTATTTACCTAAAACTTTCCTTCTTGGGTGATCATGGACAGACTGTTCCATCTTTGCTCTCGCTAATCTTTCCCAGAGCAGAAGCAGCAAGGAGGCAGTGTTGTCTTTGTGTCATTTAATAGTAGAGAAGAAGCACAGATCCCCAGAAGGAAATATGAATGACTGGAAATAGCTATGGGACACGCTTGGGACGTGAACCGCAGTGCCCAGCACCCCATTCACCTTCTCCTTGGGCTCCTTAGTTTTATTCTCCTGCTCTTCCCGAAGAACGCGGCGCCGACAAAGCTCTCCACTCACGGCCTGTTCCAGATGCACCAGCTGCTGCAGAGCCACATCCCCAGCCAGGGACAGCAGGTTCATCAGCAGGAAAGTGGAGAGCACGGGGGTCTCCTCTGGAGGGGAGAGGAAAGACAGGGAGGAAAAGACACAGGTGAGTCTCACAGGACCTGCATCCTGTTTCCGCTGATCTTCTCCTTGCTCACGTACCACACGAACTAGTGAAGAAGCCAGAGACAGGGCTGGGGGAATGGCGGTGGTGACTGGCCGACCTCAGTGACAAAAACGTGACAGTGTGGGGTGAGGGCGCTAGGGATGTTGCCGGAAGTGGTGGTGGCAGTAGCTTGTGGTCTGGCTGCTGCCCACTGGGCCCCTCGACCCTCTCGCCCACGTACTTGGGTCACCCTGGGGGTTGCTCTTCTCCACTATCTTCTCTAGGGCCTGCTTCGCACATCCCTGCAACATCTGGGCACAGATCACCTCGGGGCCCTCTGCCAGTTGGTAAATGAGGGTCACGGCCACCTCTTTGAAGGGGATCCAGAGGGGGTCTGGGTGGACAAAGCCTGCGCAGGACAAGAGAGAAGTTGCCCACCGCAGACAAAGGACTCAGCCCTGCCCGAGGCCCTTCCCGATAGCTCACCTTTTGTGACCATCTCCTGTAGTCGCTCAAACAGCCTGTGTCCCTGAGGCAGCCGGAAGGGAGGGTGACGTTTGCCCAGAGAAGGCTGTCAAGAACGGGAGAGACAGCGTGTGGGTATGTGGAGGGTGGATAAAAGGACCCCTACTCCCCTTAGTTTCGATGTAACCATCCCACATACCTTTCTCCGGTCAGAGAGGTTGGCAATGGCGTGGCACACCTGTTGGGCCAGCCTGTAGTCCTGTGGAAACTTTTCATCCAGCCCTATGCTCACCAGTGTGTCTAAGTTGCTTCCCACAATTTCTGGTTTTCCCCTAGGGGAAGGAAGCCATGGAGTTAAAGCTCACCCCGGGCAGGACTCTGTGTGTGGGACACCACCAAGGGGGTTGGTGGGTGCCTACACCCAACACAGGGCTTCCGGAGCCTTGGGACACTACAGACGAGCTCTGCCACAGCAACGTCCCTCGGAATCCCTCTCTCTCACTTGCTTCCACTATTTCTTCTTCTTTTTCAAAATGGTTACATTATTTATTTTTACCCTTACTCGAGGACATGCTTATTGTTTTTTCCCAGAGGGAGGAGCAGGGAGGGAGAGAGAAACATTGATTCATTGCCTCTCACACGTGCCCCGACAGACCAAACCCCTGGCATGTGCCCTGACTGGGAACCGAACCTGCAAACTTTTGGTCTGTGGGATGCTGCTGCAACCAACTGAGCCGCACTGGCTAGAGCTTGATTCCACTCTTTCTCTAGGCAGGGGTCCTGGCACTTCATGTTTTATTTCCCATGTAGGTAGCCCACTCAAACACAGGCTCGGCTGGGTCTGACTGCTATTACTGAAGGACAGGAAACCTTCTCACAACCTTCCTTTCCTCTCACCCTACTGCCCGTCTGGGTTTGGGCCTCACCCTGCCATCATCCCCAGAAGCATGACGGAGGAACAGCGCTCCAGAGGCGTGCAGGGGACCTTCTCAGTTGCCCGCTCCCAAAGCAGTTGGGTCACTGATGGTTTCAATTCATCCTTCTGCACAAACTCACAGAGCTGAAGAAAAAAGAAAAGCAGGCTAAAAGGTAACTGTCCTTGTCCTGGGCCCACGTCTCTCAACAGACTATTGAGAACCTGAAGTAGGTAACAGCAGTAGGAATGGAAAAGGAAGGAGGCCTAAAACGTAAAGCAGGGTTTGGGGAGCTACCTCCATCTCTGCTGCGGTTCTACTCTCATGCTTTCGCAAGTACGCCCACCAAGGTGACACACCGGAATGACCTTGCTGAGCTCCATGTGGCTCTACAGTTCTGACTACATTCTGGAGCTGTCTGGTGTGTTTTCTTGCGGTTACCACAAACCTAACAGTTCTGAAATGGAAGGCATCGGCCTCCCTTTCCTTTTCATTTAACCAATGGTCTCTTAGCCACATGTGCTTAAAATTTCACTGTCACCTATTTTTTTATGAATCAGTCACTTAGTCCTACCCCTTCTTCCCTTAACACTTGTCTTCCATGAAGTGAAATTCTATAGCTTTCACCCCCACCCCCAGAGTCCAGCCTCACCTTGCCACGCCACACCTAGAGCAGCCTCCAGGGTCCTTCCTGTTCCTACTGACTCGTACGCTACTGCTGAACCGGTTTCCCAGACACCTACTTTCTCATGCCACACCGTGGCTCATCAGTTAGAAACCTCTCTCCTTTTTCTCCTATAGGGGCTTGGACCGAAAGGTAGAATATGGGATCCCGTGGTCAGTCACCACCACCAGGCTCTTCTCTTGCCCAGCCCGGAGGGAACTGTGGCTGGCAGTCATGTTCCCGCCGGTGGGAGCTCGTGGTCAGCGCCACCTCCACCTTTGCCTCCATAATCCTAACGCTTCATTCAGGGCAGATCTGCCTAAAATGCTGGCATCCCTCGATAACAAGGTTCAAGCCCTAGACTTCTGAAAGGTACCCAGGGACTTCACACTTTAGTTCCAACTAAATCTGGGAGAATACTCCCAGGTTTATTATCTTTTCCAAATAACAATTTTGAGCCAGGCATGAATCTTCCTCATTTTGTAACATAGGCTGTGCTATTTCTTGGTGTTCTGTCTGAAATGCTTTCCCTCCTTTCTTGAATTCTCTAAACCCTACTCATCAAGACCTAACTTAAGTCTGCCCACCTTCAGGAAGCATTCTTTGCCCATTCCACCTCGCACTGCTCTTTCCCACCCTGTGCTCACCAGTATAACACACAAGTTAAGAGTGTGTTTTCTGGAGCTCTCCTGCCTGAGTTTGAATCTCAAACTTTGCCACTAACTATCTGTAACTGGCCGACTCCTTTAACTTCTCTGTGCCTCAGATTTCTCATGATAAAATATATATAATAGAATTATCTACTGCATAGGGTTGTTGTGAGGATTAAACACATTAATATGACGAAAAAGCTAAGAATAGTGCCTGGCATATACAGTGTTACTATTATTGCTGCTATAACCATTACCTGGGCCCCTTATTCTGGCACTTAATCATCTATCTCTTACATTGTTCGGTGGTTGTTTTGTTTTTTTTGGCTACCAACTAGATGGAAACTTGGAAACAAATAACCTTAGCCTTGTGAGGCTGGGTAAATTGCTGATCACAGAGTAATCATGAATACTTGTTGAATGAATAAAGAAAGAGAAAGTGAAGACACTTACAATTTCCTGAAGACACTGAATGGTCCCAACTGAGGCATCCACTAGCAGCAAGGAGAGATTCTGAATCAAAGCATGGGCCTTGGCTCTGTGGGAAGAGCAGAGACCAGAAGTCATCAAGGGACTGACTTGGTGAGGCCGGCAAACAGGTGACCAGAGCTACCCCACAGGGTCAGACACTGCTTAGGGCGGGTGTTACTGAAAGTTCAGCTCCACGTGAGCCCCCTATGGACCTACTGCCTACAGGTTCAGAGCTCCTCTAGAAGGATGCCCCCCAGTTCCTTCAGGAGACTAGAAACGTCCTATGAGAAGCTGACCTCAGAAAAGCCAGCAAAGACAAAAGTACCCCACATACCTGGCCGAGTCCCCTTTGGGGTTGAGGTAAAGTTGGCGGTAGGCATTAAGCACAGCTTCCCTGACACCATGCTCCTTAGACCAGATGAGAGGCAGCATGCGGCGTACCCCGAGCAGGGCCTGAGGTACCCCGAATTGGAATGCCATCACAAAGAATTCAATCACCTCCTGTACCACTGAGAGGACAGACACAAATGTCACCTGTCTGCTTGGCAAAACTGCCCCCTCCCAACTCAAACACAGAACCTTTGTTGACATAGCAACAGGCCAGAGGAGGCCTTTCTCATTTTCCCTGAGCCTGTTGCCTCCTATAACGCCCTGCCAGGAGATACTATACACATTGAAACAGGTGAGCTCCACGGGACTATACAAAGCAAGCGGAAAAAAGGATTCCTTCCTTTTAAGGGAGCAGCTAGATATCAACACAATATGGACAAGACCGGTTTTCTAACCCTAAGACCCAGTCCTTACAGAAAGGGACGGTGGCACACCACACCTGTGGTTGTGTTTTCATACATCATCTTGCTGATGATGCCGATGGCCTCTGTAATCTTCAGTGAAAAGCTATAGGCGTCCTGCAGATACTGCACCAGCATCTCTTGCTTCACCAGCGCGTCCTTTCCCCCAGACTGCTCAGGCTGTGGCACACTGGGCTGGTCTTTGCGGTCCATCCGTCCTGGGCCCACGTTCTCTGCGGACCCCTGGGGATTCTTCTCCTGTGTGGGAGCTCCTGGACCTAGGAGTTAGAGAGTGTTCAAGACGGGGAAATCCAACACTCATAACATCCCTGGATATTTTTTTCCACAAAAAAAGATATAAATTTAGAACCTATTCTAAAATATCCTGGCTCATTTCTCAAAAAAGATTCCTCAAATTCTCGGCGGTTTGGAAACACCCTTTCACACTCTGCGACTGTCAGTCTTAGGCCCGTGGGCTGTCCGTTCCAGCACAGCAGCACGGCCTCCCCCTCTGGCCTCTGTTAGCACCAGGCTCTGTCAGCCAGGCCAGGCTCTGGCACAAAGTAAATGGTCCATAAGGACTAGTTGAAATGTTGTGTTTGTTGACTCAAGAAGGAAAAGGAGTTACTTTTGAAGATAGTTCCCAAGAGATTCAGGAACCTGGTCTCCTCCGCCTCGTCCGGGTCCGTCTGACTGAAGGGTTCTGACTGCTGGAAGTGGCCCAGGGCTTCCCGAGTGAGAATGATGGCTTGCCTAAAAGAACATCAGCCTGTCACCAATTCAACACCCAGAGAAGTGTCACCACAGCCTTTTAAAAAAATGATAACGGACATACCAGGGTGTCACTGTAGACTTAAGGGAGGATACCCGATAACCCCACCAAGTACCTAGACCGCCGGTGCCAAGGAAAAGGTGCACTTCTCCCGCTCAAGCACCTGCCAAGGGGTGGAGCTCAGGCACCTTTCCTACTTCTGAAGTGACAGGGCTTAACTACAGTTTTCAGAACTCTCAAATAAGGCTTTTAAATTTAAAAAATCACAACCCTATTCCAAACATTTGTTTAAAAACTTTGCCAAGTGAAAGTCTGGAAAAACTAAACTTTGAATAACTGATTAGTTCATGGTACAGCCATACAATGGGACCCTATGTAGCCATAAAAAATACTGAGGCAGTATATATTACTTACATACAAATATCAAAAAACACTAAGATACACAGTTGACTGAAAATAGCAAGGCAGTAGATCAGTGGGTAGAAAATTCTATCACTTGTGTACAAAGAGGGGAAAAGAAGAACGTATGTTTGGTTGTATGTCTCTATGTTATCTCTAGAAGGACACTCAATAAACTGTGAACATTGTTTCCCCGTGTGGCCAAGTGGCTGGGGACAGGTTCGGATGCCACTTTGCACAGCATGTCCTTGTTGAAATTTAAAATTCCATACCATGTGAATTAGTAGGTATTGTCTAATTTTTAAAAAAGTAAATTTCTGCTTAAAACAAAAAAAAATTTTAAAAACCCCAAAACTTATTAAAGCCCTGGCTGGATAATTCAGTTGATCAAAGCGTCATTTCAATATACCAAGTTTGAGAGTTCAATTCTCGGTCAGGGCACATACATACAGGAAGCAACCAGTGAACGCATAATAAGTCTAGCAACAAATCAGTGTTTCTCTCTCTCTCTCTCTCAAAATCAATTAAAAAATAATGAAAAAACTACTTCAAGTTATTTTAAAAAGTTTTAGCAAACATATCAGTTACTAACTCCTTACCCTGGCATGGACTGCTGAGGATTTCTAAAGGATGAGGTGATATCTTTAACATGAGATGAAACCTTTTTCTAACTGATAGGAGAAAATACTGGCATGCTTGTTGGCAGGAGGAGCAGTTAGAAAACTTAGTCTCTCTTTGTGCTCTAGCAAAGCAAAGAGAGACAATGCAAAGACATAGTGGAGAGCAAACCAGCCACATTCTGTTCATAGTTAGCCTTTTCTAAGCAAATAATTGTGGCCGAGTTTTAAGAGTATCTGATGAGAGCTCTAAGGGATTTTTTGGCCAAGCTGCTCCAAAGTTTTTGAGTCACAAAAACACTAGGAGAAACCTCTAAGATCAGAATTCATACTAGGTGATTAAGGTAGCATTGATACTGTGTATTAACTCAGGGAATTTAGAATTAAAAGCCATTATGAATCATATGATCTAATCAACTTAAAAATTTTTTTGTTTACTGAGAGAGGAAAGGGGGGAGGGAAGGAGGGAGAGAGACAGACATTCATTGATTTTGTTGTTCCACTCATTCATGCATTCATTGGTTGATTCTGCATGTGCGCTGATTGAGAATCAAACCCACAACCCTGGCGTATCAGTACAATGCTCAAAACAACCGAGCTACCTGGTCAGGGCCTAATCAACTTTTTATTTTACAAATAATGAAACCGAGGCCCAGAATAATGAAGCAATTTACTTAAGATTATACAACTAGAATTATATTAATGGGCTTTCTTCTTCAAAGGAGGACTTTTGTCATCTTTAATATTATACTATTTACATTTAGTTGCTTTAATAATTTCTTTAAACATTTGTAGCCCTGACTGGTGTGGTTCAGTGGGTTGGGCATCATTCCACAAACTGGAAAGTTGCCGGTTCTATTCCCAGTCAGGGCACATGCCTGGGAAGGGTTGCAGGCCAGGTCCCAGTTGGGGGTGTGCAAGAGGCAACCACACATCGATGTTTCTCTCCCTCTCTTCCCCTCTTTCTAAAAATAAATAAAAGGAATCATGGACATGGATAACAAACAGTGCGGTGATTACTGATGGAGGGGGATTGTAAGGGGACTAAAAAGTAATGTAAAAAAATACAATAAAGATTAAATAAAATACAAAAATAAAAATAAATAAAATCTTTAAAAAATTTGTAAAAGTAGAAAAGCATGCTTAATTGTGGACTGTGCCTTCGGCATCAACCTGGTGTTCAGACCGTTACTACAGTGAAAACATCTCCCGTCACCTGGTGGCAGCATACTCTGTCGATTCGCACAGGTTGAACTCTAAGCCTAAACAGGTCATTATAGAATACCTCCTTTTTTCACATACTTGTAATTAGCTTTGGCAAGCAACCGACGGATGCGTCCCTTCACCGCTTCAGTGGTCTCTGTAGCAGCAATTTCCTCAGGAATCTCTTCTTCCGGGGGAAGTTTTAGTAGCTGTTGCAAGGTGGACTTCAACTCTGGCAGCATGGCTTCCCACTCCTCCTCTGGGTCCAGCACTGCAGCTGAATGAGAAAGTCTCAGACTCTTTCACTGGAGTTTCTGCTGCAGGGAGACGACTGTCTGGGGTGGGGATTCCTACACAGTCACTACTCACAAGCAGCTGCACTTTGCCT